TCTAAGGACAGAGGGTCTAAGGACAGAGGGTGTCGTATTGTCATACTGATATTCTGTACAAACTGTGAAGTCCACTGAGACAAATGTAACATTTGTGATATTGGGCTATATAAATAAACATTGATTGACTGATTGATTGATTGACATGTTTTTAATAGATATGGCCCTATAATATATAGTTCAAATATAGCATAATACGTGAGCTTTAAGATAAGATGTACTTTATTGGGAAATGTTTGCGTTGCAGCAGCATTAAAGACCAGGCATTGCATATAAGATAAATTAAAAGAGTATAAATAAACAATTCTAAAATGTAAACATAAACAAACCCAGCAGCAAAGAAGACAGCACTGGCAACCACAGACTGGTAGAAGATCTCCAGCATCTTGCTGCACACGTGGAACGATCTCAGCTTCCTCAGAAAATAGAGTCGGCTCATCCCCTTCTTGTGCACAGCGTCAGTGTTGATCCTCCAGTTCAGTCCGTTGTCTAAGTGCACTCCCAGGTACTTGAAGTCCTCCACAAGAGCCACATCCTCTCCCAGAATGCACAGGGGCGGAGGACATCAATGACCATCTCTCTGGTCTTGGCCACATTCAGAAGCAGATGATTTTAACTGTATTTGTTCTGAAAATACAGAAACACTTCACTGCAACGTGGCTGCGTACTGTCGGCTCGGTGCATAAATACTCCTTTACATTCTTCGACTTGCATTAAACAATAAAAACATAAAAAATCCTGCTTGCAATTAACCTGATAAGCACACATTAACAACGTATTATTTATTTAAAGGTCCTTAGACTTCAGTCATCAGTCCGTATAAGCTTGCAGGTGAGGCATTGTTTCACATGGCACACTCGTCATTTAACCGATTAAAGGTCCCCTATTATCCTGTTTCTCATCAATATATCACAGGTCTCAGATATATCCAGAGCCTGCCTCTGATTGGCTGAAACACCAAACAGATCATTGCAGCATTACCCATAATCCCCTCTGTTTCAGCCCTGTTTCCAAAGTGCTGATTCTCTGTCTGTTACTTTAGATGAAAATAAGGAGCCCCCCCCCACGCCCCTCTGAGAGACATTTGGTTACAAAGAACTCAATGGAGCTCTAGGAGGAGATTCAGGTGATAAGGGGGGGGTGGGGGTTACCTTGGTTGGTGATTGGCTAATGGTTACTTAGTAAGTTAGTCCCCTGATCCTCCATCCTGACTGTTGGCGAGACTTAACAACCTTAGAAATGTCCAAAGACAACCAATCAATCAATTCGATGTTTCCCGTTACTCACATCCTGTTTCTTGTCTTGCAGGAAACGCCTTCGTGGTGAGTCTAGCTTTCGCTGACCTGGTCGTCGCCATCTACCCGTACCCGCTAGTCCTCTTTGCCATCTTTAACGACGGCTGGATCGCGGGAAACATCCACTGTCAGATCAGCGGCTTCCTGATGGGCCTCAGCGTCATCGGATCCATCTTCAACATCACGGGAATCGCCATCAACCGCTACTGCTACATCTGCCACAGCCTCAAGTACGACAGGATCTTCTCCAACAGGAACACCATGTGCTACGTGGTGCTAGTTTGGGCGCTCACCATTATCGCCATCGCGCCCAACTGGTTTGTGGAATCGCTGAAATACGACCCGCGCGTTTACTCCTGTACTTTCGCCCAATCCGTAAGCTCTTTTTACACCATTACGGTTGTGGTGGTGCACTTCATTCTGCCCATTAGCATCGTGAGCTACTGCTACCTGCGCATCTGGATCCTCGTCATCCAGGTGAGGCGGAGGGTGAAGCCGGACACGCGACTGAAGATCAAACCGCACGACTTACGCAACTTCCTCACGATGTTCGTAGTGTTCGTGCTCTTCGCCGTTTGCTGGGCGCCGCTCAATTTCATCGGATTAGCGGTGGCGTTGGACTCCCGTTTGGGCGAAGCGATACCGGAGTGGCTGTTCACGGCGAGCTACTTCATGGCGTACTTTAACAGCTGCTTAAACGCTGTCGTCTACGGAGCCCTGAACCACAACTTCAGGAAGGAGTACAAGAGGATCGTCATGATCGTCTTCAAGTTTCACTGCTGAGACGAGATGCAGAGGGGAAAGATAAGGTGGCTGACAGGACAGGTGCAAACAGGCTACAAGACCCAGAACACACTGCAGCTCCAAAAACGATGCAAATATGAAATCACAAATGTGCCAAAACACATGAAGACACATCTTCAGCAACTTGACAACACATGCAGCATTTTAGAAAACATTCAGAAACAAACTCAGTTGGATCTTTACAGAATTTAAATGTTGGTGTTGGATTATTCATTGTGATCATCTTCTCCCCGATGCATAACAGTTTTCTACTGAGTTGTTTTATGACGTAAACAATTACGTCAACGCTGTTTCTGTTTATTCAGAAGGACAGAAAATGCTGCGAATGAATAATAATGACTATTATTTTAAAAAGAAATGTATTAAATAGAATATTGGTGCTTTTTGAATATTTATTTATGTATGTATTTAAGCAAGGATCTCAGAAAAGAGAAGAGACGATTTATGCCAGATTTCAGCTAATAGCTCATTTCCATCTGAGGCAGGTACATAACAATCAACAAACACTAAAAACATTGCATAATCTCTATCACATGAGCAATTATAAAAAAAAGAGTGAAGTACAGGTCAATAAAATAGTACATAGTAAAGTTAAAATATAATATTACAATACAATGAAAATTGAAAAACTCAGATTACAGTGTAATTAATGTTGGCTAAATGTAAAAAATGTTGCACCAGGTTTTAATCCCAGCTGGAAGAATATTCCAGTGTTTGAATGTGGTTTCAGTTTTTAAGGAGTGTGATTTATGTTTGAATTAAGATATTTAAAAAATTAGGGCTGTCAAGTTAACGCGTTGCAATTTTTTTTTTAACGCCACTAATTATTTTAACGTGCGATTAACGCATGTGTATTTGTCCTCGGCCGCCCCGTAGTTTCAGAGCGGAAAAGGCTTGACGTTGTTGTTGTTGGTTGGATGGTGGCAGATTCTAGCGAGAGATAAATGGATATTTTCTCGATATGTAGACCTCTCTTTAAATCACCATGTGTGGCAAGCAATTCTCACAATGATGACTAATCTTTGCCAGGAATACATTGAAATGTGAAAGTTGACAAATAAGTAATGTTGCTTGTTAACATCTTAACTTTTTGAAGGACTGAGGAGTCCAGAGGCCTGTACTACGAAGCTGGTTCAACCTAACCTGGATATGTTTGAGTTAGCCGGTTGGCCTAATCCAAAACATACGCGCTCTCGCTAAACTGTCCTACGACGTGGGTTATCAAGTGGATCGCTCAAGCCAGCCGTGTCCTATCTAGTTAGGTGCGCGTTCACATGAAAGGGGTGGTATTTGGAGCATTCGACCAATCACAAACATGGAGAAGTGTACTGACAGCACAGCGTCATACTTCCTGAATGAAAAGTCAACTATAATATTAGACATATGAAGAAGTTAAACTTTAAACATCCATGACTTAAACACTTTATCCAGGATCAAAGCCACATAGCT